ATGCCTGCCTGCGAAATACGACCGCCTTTTGTGAGACCAGAGCTCTGGTGGTGCGCTCAACCAGGTACGAAATGTGGTCACCACTTGCAGGAATTGTGCGCAAAACAACGATGTGCCTACGTTCTATGCAATACCGTTTCATCAAGCCAAACCAATATCTGAAAGATATCCTTGGGCCAGATCCAAGGGAAGGGCACAAAAACACCAACCATCATCCATAATTCATTTCCAGCCCGCGCCGCCTCTCCAAGTGATTCCTGCAAGCATCCCGTCCCCACCCGACAAGATTGGAGCAACGGCGCGCGGGTACCGTCCAGCAAACTCGCACACCATCTACGCTACGACGGCGGAACCGAGCTCCTCCGCCAGCGTCAGCCAGCGCCGGCCCGCCGGTGGCGCGGCTACCGCGGCCGCGTGGCCAGGCTCGGCCCAACAGACCCTCCGCCAGCGTCAGCCAGCGCCGGTCGGCCGGTGGCGCGGCTACCGCGGCCGCGTGGCCAGGCTCGGCCCAGCAGAGCCTCCGACGCCGGCCGACCTTGAGGGCCGGCCCGGCTATAAGGGTCCTGGCAGCGGCTCGCAGCCCGCCGATCCTCTCAACTTGTCGCAGCTCCCCATCAGACCATGGCGACCGGACCGGCGGACCGGACCGGACCGGACAGGACGGAGGGGCGCGGAGCGTCTCCGGGGTCGACCCGGGCGCCCCGACGGCGGGCTGGGGCCGAGCTGGCCGGAGCTGGACCGTGACCGCTCCTTCATGGCCGTGCCCCGGTCATGCTGGCTGCGTGTCCCGTCTGCAAACAGGCCATACAGGGCGCAGATGGGCGGAGCTGATCTGCCTGGCCTTGAGGTCGCGTACTGCGTCCCATGACGGCAGCGTTGGTCGTGTGCCGGACGTAGTTTGGTCCTAGCGGCTGCAGCCAGGCCTTAGCTCCGGTCGTGTTGCCTGCCCTGCAGTGTCCGTGGTCCGACTGAGCCTTTCATGGTTACGCTGTAATGCGGAAAGGCCCCTTTTGGGCTGCGTTTGTCGCGGCTGGGTGGCCGTGATCGCTCAGTCCTAGCTGGCCCATGTCAGCTGCAGTACACGCGACCAGACCATGATGGCCGTGCTGTCCATGGCCGGACGTCGTTGGCTGTGGCTGGGCCGGCCGCCTAGCACGGCCAGAGGTCGTCCGCGCCGCCGCGCACAATGGCCGTGTTTGCGCAGGCTCGGCGCAGTTTGCTCAGGTGACTCGCCGCTGGTTGGCCGCCGAGAGCCGACGCCTGGGTCACCGCGCCGGTCGGCGCAGCCACGACACAAGTCCGGGCAGGCAGCTGGGGCGCGGGCGCAGCAGAGTAAGCAGAGCCATCAGCTGGGGTGCGGACGCATCAGAGTGAGCAGAACCATCAGCTGGAGCGCAGGCGCATCAGGGTGACCAGAACCATCAGCCAGGGTGACCAGAACCATCAGCTGGGGCGAGGGACGCATCAGAACGAGCAGAGCCATCAGCTGGGGCGCGGACGCATCAGAGTGAGCAGAACCATCAGCTGGGGCGCTGGCGCATCAGGGTGACCAGAACCATCAGGCAGGGTGACCAGAACCATCAGCTGGGGCGAGGGACGCATCGGAGTGACCAGAACCATCAGCTGGGGCGCGAGCGCATCAGAACGAGCAGAACCATCAGCTGAGGTGAGGGGCACATCTGAGTGACCAGGACCATCAGCTCGCCTCCGGTGCAGCACCGAATGGAGACTAGCATTATTATGTTCCGGAATGAGGTGAATGTAAGGTCCAGGCTGGGCGGCGCTCTTCATCAGCCGGAGAGCGAGGTGGTAACGGGAGCTGATGGACCCACAGAGCCCAGCGACAACCCACGCCGGTGACCTCCGCCCCGGCGAGGGGCCGCGTCCACACCTGCGGCACGCGCCGCGTGCGCCACTCCTCCCATCGGCCGGCTCTCGACAGCCGTGCAGGCGCGCGGCCCCACACATGGCGGCCGGCATACCAACGGCCGCCAGCCCGCCGCCGCCTGGCAGAACGCGATGAATGCGGCTGCACGCTGCGTGGCCGCCGCCCGTGGCCGACGGCCGGCCGGCCGGCAGAGAGCCGGCCCGGGGGGCGACGGCAACCGCCCGATCCGGCCTGCTGCGTTCGGCCGGCCGGCGCTGTCCCCTCCCCCCGTGAGGAACGTACGTTACGATCACGGCTTTTTGATCCAAAGCCGAAGGACACGGCGAGAAGCCGCGTCACGTCACAGCGAGAGGCCACGGAGACACACCTCCAAGTGGGACTGATGAGTGTAATAGTTGTATATCAAATATATTGGTGATTGTGTCATTTTTCCTCTTAGACACCCTCGAGGTACGTCATCGTTGAACATGGTGCAATTTCCGTCGTAACTGTGCGAGTTGTTCCAGGGGTAGCCGGCTATTCTGCGGGCGGTCCGTCAGTGTGACGCTTCTGATCTACACGGAAACAGCTGCGAGATCTCATGCCCTCGGCACTCCCTCCTTTCATGAACATTTCAAACTAGATCACTCATATCCTACCAGCCCCGGATGCAGGCTGCCCAGTATACAGTCTCCATCACCCCCTCCACGGGCGCTAATAGACCGATTCACACCGAGGACAAAAACTCCTCTGGCCCTTATCGGGCCGTAATCGTGCGGGCAAAAAGGCTGTCTGCGCGTCATGTACTTCTGACAACATTCACTTTGGGCGGTGGAAAAAAGAGCCACAATGGGTTGGCGTTCGTGCGCACTCCCCGGGCCCGCTCACTCTGCAGATAGTCACGTATCTCGTGTGTTTCGCGCTTGGTCACGCCCTCTGGCTGAGAGCACCGGCAGCGTGCTCCGGAAGCTGGGAGCTCTGCCAACTGGAACGCGGCGTGTGACCCTGCAGGCCGTGACCCCGTGATCAGTATTCGGCGGGTCGACGCGACCCGCACCGCGTCTCCGGAGACGGATTCATGCGCTTCCCGGACGCGTCCCTGCATGTGCTTCAGCAAGCGCCTTTGTGAATAATAAAACGGCGCTGCCGGCTGCAGATCGCGCTGCTCGTAAAATATTCAGCAGCTCTAGATTTGTCAGGAGAGACTCAATGCAGCTGTGATCTGCAGCGCAGTTATCTAGAGCCAATCGGCGAGAGGAGGCTCTGCAGAAGCACTTGGCGACATCACCAGATCTGAATTTCCGTCAGGGAAGGATGGTTTGACTATCCCGTTCAACAAACAGAATTTAAGGCTGTTTGTCTGCGACATTAAGCTCACCATATATCATGGTAAATAGGAAGCAGACGCGCTGTAATCTTTCTACCAAACGAATCCCACATTCAGCATCTGAAGAGCCCCACATCTGACACCCCAAGCCTTTGCATTCGTCGCCACGGTCCACCAGCAGCGAAAGGCGACACAACTCAGCAAGACCGTTCCGATCGTCGCGCACCGTTCCGATCGTCGTTCCCCCCGTCTCTAGCCCACGCCATCGCGTCGGCGGGCGCGCGCTGACGCGGCGGCAGCGCTGGCTGACGCGCCGGCAGCGCGCGCTGACGCGGCGACAGCGCTTGCTCGTGTCGCCCGTGCGCGAACCAGCTGAGCCCGGCGACCGACCGCCGACAGCGATATCACGGCGGCTCTCGTCACCGGCCGCAGCGGGCGGTGAAATCGATCCCGAGCTCCGGCACCGCACACATCGACAGCGATCAGTCGGCTCCGGCGACGAGCACGACGACGGAGGCGCGGAGCCGGCGCGCTCGACGCCCGCCTAAGCCGTCATCGTCGCCGGGCTCGGCGGGATCGAGGAGGGGCTGGAGCGGCTCCCACGGGGCTCGTTCGGAGGATGACAAACGGGCCGACTGCTGTCGCGATTCAAAGCTCGGCTTGCGGCCTGGTGTGTGTCGCTGGCGAGCTGGTGGGCCATGACCGCAACACGCTGAAGGTCGAGCGGCATGCATGCTGTGCTGTGACGCTCAGCGAGTTCGCCGAGCAGATATGTAATGGTAAAATATCTGAGCGCCATCCATAACCATGACTGCGCTTGTGTAATTCCAGCTCCGACAGCCAGCGTTGAGCCAACAGCCTACACGCCCGTGACCGCTGATGCGTATCTGCTGATGATGACCGCTGATGCAGGGGCGGGTGGAGCCTCACCGCCCTGACTGGCATCTGAATTAGAAACTGGCCACAGCGCCTTTGACGGCTTCTTGGCAATGCCGATGTAGGCTCTTGGGCGTTGGGTGACGGGGAGGTACTCAGTTCCACTGGACAACGACTAGCCCTGCATGGGGCAGGCCGGACGGATTAACCAGGTCACCTGATGACAAGGATCTCAACTATGTAAAAGGTCGCATGGATCAGAAAGGTCGCATGAATCAACTTAACCGCCGAGACAACCGCCATCACCTCAATGACCAGGAGCACTCAATCGCCCAGATGGTAGCCAACGCCCCCGCACCGCCAGAGCAGCAGGACCAGCAGACCCGCGCGCGCGAGAACAGCGGCGGCTGGCCGGCCCGTGGGGCCCCGTAGTCGTACCACTCGGCGGCCGGCTCACCTGCTTATGAACTTGGCAGCGCGCCAGACGCCGTTCGAACCGGAGCTGGACCCGCGGCCGCCCTCCCTCCCCCTCCCCCGAAATACGGCCGCCGATAGCGGGTGAGGTCACTGGCTGCTGACTCAAAGCATCCAGTGGCGAGGTGTTGACACGAGCACAACAGCCTATGGACCGAGCAGAAGGGCGTATGTGTTTATAGCGTGAAGCAGGGACGGCCTGCGGTTAGCGGTCGCCGGGGCGTTTCCTTCGATGGTGCCTGTCGACGCCCGACGATTTCGCCCGAGTTTCTGTCGTGAAGAAAGCGGCGTGGCAAAACCCACGCGGTCATACCAACATCACGTCTCGTGACCATCCGTGAAGGCCTAAACCGCCGCGGAGAACCCGTCGAAACTCGCGAGGCCACGCGGGGGTGACCGCACCGGCCGCGGCAGTCGACAACACGGGCGGCGAGCGGGCACGTGGCGCGTACTCACTCGTGCAGACGCCCTCGGCGCCGGTGTCGACGGGCTGGCCGTGACGCGGCGACGTCTGGCAGACAAGCCCGTCGTCGCAGAGGCCGAAGCTGTCGAAGTAGCCGCCACACCGTTCGCCGAGTCCGCGCGCGCAGACGTCGCAGCAGCCGCACACGTCGCGCACGGTGCGGCCCGGGCAGCTGACCTCGACGCAGGTCGTCTTCTCGCAGGGCGTGCAGGAGAGCGCCGCGCTCAGCGTCAGGCCGCTGAGCAGCATCAGCGCCGTCAGGCTCGGTCCGGTCATCACGGCGGCGGTGCGCGCACCTCCAGAGGGCAAGGGCGCGAGACGCGGGCACCGGTCACGGGTCACCAGTCACGAGCGCAGGTCACGGGGTATGTCGCCGTCGGCGGAGCACAGAGGCGGACGCGGCGCGCGCGCTCCCCAGGACAGGGTCGGAGACAGTGGCGCGCCGCCGGCCCGCAGCGACGGATTCCGCGGGCTAGTTCACTCAACAGCCGACAGGTGGGTCTGCAGTCGACCGGCGCCTGTTCGCCCGGCGGGGCGGTGCGGGGTTCTGGCTTCCGGCACTGCTCGAACTGTGCTTGAAGTATGGGTTGCAGAGCTCGAGGCAAAGCGAGCTTTCAAGGCGAGCGCTACTTGCCCCGTGTCAATACATAGTTTTAGAAGGGGGAATTCACGAGGTTGAAAATATTTGCGCAATCGCTTTTGCCTCATCACGAACATAACATTGGCAAGCGCACCGTGATCAGGCCAGATTCTTATGCATTGTAAGGCAGGCTCTGTCCAATGTGTCCACAAGCTGACATCCACCTCTAGATGTACCCCACTAAATACTCCACCCACCTCTAGATGTACCTCACTAAATACTCCACATTGAATTGTTGACTATGTGCATCTTTGACATCGGTTCTTCAGTAAGTGCGTGTCGTTTCCCGGTATAAATACCTGCCTGCACGATAAGCGTCTAAATGTTAAACAGTCGATGGAAGCTGGACATGGGCAGTGGTACACGTTTAGCTTCAACCAGGGCTGAGCAGGCTTTTTAGATAAGGTACTTCGACGGCCTTGCTTTCTCTCCGAAAACTTGTCCCCGTTACGTATGTGTGGTAAGCTGGCGGCATCCAAAATCCGATAACGTTTCTGCTTTCAGCGAGGCTGCCTGCCACCATCGGCGCTAAACTGATTACTGGACTGAATGCCGTTGTCCTTTGTTCGCTGATCATGTCATTAAGGCGCCGCCAATTGAACCGCCTGATGACTGACCTCAGGGGATGATGACCATGACCAAGAAAGCAAGAGAGGCATTTTGTTCGATGTCAGTCAACTGCAGCATGTAACGCTGATAGCTACATCAGCTGGCTATCGGTTATGAGTTGGCATACAAAACGCGTTTATGGAGAGGATCTTTTCGGCAATGTTATGCGTCATTCCACATTTACATTTGTGTTATCAAAGGCGCATCCACGTAGTAATTGCTCTGCGCCTAGTTGGGCAAGAAAAAAAATACACGCACACATAGTACAGAGACACACACAAACGCACAGGTGAAAGCAGTTTCAAAGGGTCAGCGATTAAAAATAGTCAAGAAAGCCCAGCGCGAGGGGTGCGGACGGCTGCCGCATGCAGTCGGTTCCTCGCGGCGGCGGCGTGGTACGGAAAATGCCGCTGGGTGGCGGTCAGTCGGACGCGCGGCAGGTGTAGCCAGCCGACACCGCCCGCAACAGCCCGAGTTTGACGTTGGGAAGACTCGGCTCGCGTCACGAATACAGCACACAGTGCGCTGAGGTATTCGGGGGCGTGCAGTGCCCTGTGCACATTCAGACAGTCGCGGTGGTGCACAAGATCCGCGACGCTACGCCAGCCGGGCGCTTCCAGGACGGGTGAAATGTGATCGCTGCGGCGGACACCACTCACTAGCCTGGCTGCGAAGTGCATCACCCTAAGCATCCAGGTGACGCTCGGCTGCCCCACCCTGGATGGACGTGGTGTCGGATTTTTAACAGGGATATCAGGATTGCATTACGGCGCCGAACGAGTGAAGAGATGTAGGGTTCCCAGGTGAGGTGGTGGTCGAGGAGAACACCCAGCATATTCACATCCAGGACCTTTATCTCTGTACCATAGATGGTAATGTGGAAGTTATCGGTCTTTGTGATGAAAGATTTGGTACCGATCAGCATGATGTCTGTCTTGTAAGGTCTATTTTAAGGCTGTTTGACTGAAGCCAGTTTTGAAGGTACTGGATGGACTTCTGAACACGGACTTTCAGGTTGTACAGGCCGACGACATCGGGAGTGGCGGAGTCAGGGAGTTGGGTCTCGTCGGTATAGGATAGTAGGTGGCCGTGAGGTAGGAGGTTGGATAGGTCGTTGATGAAGATGGGGAACAGGACTGGGCTGCTAAGGGGTCCCTGATCCACCCCGTGGAATAAGGATAGGATAACCGAGTCACCACTAACCACCAGCTTTCGACCGCTCAGGTAGTCCCGGAACCATTCCGAGGACACCGCGCAACATCCCAGCTTTCTCAGGAGGGCACCTTGATCAACTCTGTCAAAGCCTTGCTAAGGTAAATCGTCGTTATCGACGTGACATGGCCGTTGTCGTCGGCCCTTGCCAACCATCCGACAGCGTCGATCAGGGCGTCCTCCGTCGAGTGACGTGGACGGTAAGCATATTGCGATGGCGTCGGTACATGGCTGTCAAGAAGGTAAGAAGTGAGCTGTGAACAGACGACCTTCTCGAAAATATTCGACAGTACCAACAGAAAAGAAATTGGGTTATATATATATATATATGTATATATACATATATATATATATATGTATATATATGTATGTATATATATATATATATATATATATATATAAAAGTCTCGTTTTGAATTAGCAAGTTAGAATGCCACAAAACCATCCTTTATGAGCGCCTGACATTTCAATTCTCCATTGACCCTCGCGCCAGAAACAGTGACGTATGAAATACCCAGAGATTCTGCCAGAGGTCCTTGGTCTTGGCCAGGAACGCCTTGTTCTGAGGCTGGCCTGGTATCCTAAAGACCATAGGATGAAGAGGGCAGGCGTCGGTGGTCAACGGTTGCTTGAGGGCATTCCTACTGGTGGCGAGGTGACTTCACCACCAGTCACCACTCTCAGTGCACCGGAACGCGTGCTGGATCACCAGGAACGAACCTCGCAAACACAGCTCTACCGCGCTTCGCCTGAACTTGCGGCCCGTCATAACGTATGATGCGTTCCAAGCCGTTTACTGGCACGTCTTACCCAATCCACCGCAACTGTCCGGACGGAAGCTGAACATCCGACTGAGATCACTTCTCTGTCTGTGGCTGGCTGCTTCTGACAGTGCGCTGTGTCAGTGGCTGGTGACTCAGTAACGAAGCAACTGTTCTTTTCAGCAAAATCGGATATTAAGTCACTCACAGATAGCACTCAGACTAACGAAGCACGCATTATCTTACGTTATAGGTTGAAATGCTGGTTTGATATGCCACAAATTCAGCTTGGAAGCGAGTGCTGTATGTAGCCTACATACCTTGATGCCATATATTAGCATATATTTAGACCCACGACGAAGATCGACGATGATTTTGAAAATAGGCTTTCAGCTGGAACAGAGAGCACATGCTTCGCACAACTCATTGCTTGCTGACTCTAAAGCCGCCATGACTAAAAGACAAAGACGCATCATTTGAAAAGAGAACACGTGAAATAGAAATGCCAGCTGAAATCCGGCTGAGCAGGCTTGTTGACTTAACTGGACCAGCCGTACCACATCGGAATCAAACTAGTATGCTCATCCATATGAAACTACATCTGGCCTAACATCTGCAGCAGATCTATGGTGGTAATAGTGAACATAATAACAAGGTGCAGCGCACTTGTTTGGGTCTATGCAGGTAACCCTTTGCTACTTCTTTACATATAATACGTAATTTACTTACAATGCTTGCTACGGATATGTATAGTCGGTATCACGGGGATCAGAGTTCCAACTTTACCATGTGTCACTTTACCATATGTCCCTAGCTTTACCATACGTTGTAACCTTACCTACTGCAATGTCAATCCTGGGTTAGCATATGCTGGGAAGCTGGTGTAGCAAAGCCACCAGAGCTGGCTATTAACAGCTGTAGCTGTATCTGCTACACTTCAATTGGAAACTGAAGATTATGAGTCTGCAATTCTTATGCTGACAATAGTCAACCTTCATTATACTATGAGGTGCTGATCAGACGAAATTATCAAACAAGCGATGGTTGCATTGCCAAAACTCGATAGCTTTTCTCTGAGTTTTGACAATATAACCAGAGTGTGCTTGACAAGGTCGCCTAACGTGTACCTGCTGGTACAATAAAGGTCGATCATTGTCAGAGTCCAGGCTCACAGCGGCCAAACGCCAGGAGCTGACGGCCTTTTGTTTTGCTACGTACTTTGCTGTCTACGTATATTGAGGAAAATAGCCAAATCACGACAGTTGTGATAGAGCTGGTCGTCGCTAGCGCCAAGTTGTCTTACTAGATTCTCGAACCATGTATTCACCGTCACATCGTTGTTGGGCTGCTTGGTTTCATTCTTAAGCCAGGAGCAAGGCGCGGTCCACACAGAACCTTAACCACGCCGGTTAACGGCTACTGCAGTCCACCTTCCTTCGATGTCATCATATTCAAGGCACGAAGCACATTCCAATGTCCACAAAGCGTACTTGGCCCAGCGCCACCGACACCAGCGGTGGTCACGGGTCCAAGCAGACCCTGCGTCGCAGAAGGCGCAGCGCGCCGCGCGGGAGTCATCGGTAGCGTCAGTAGCTATTGCTCGCCTCATAGCCCCGTCTGTATATTTTCCAGCCCGAAGTGGCGATGCCCGCCGGGTGGTCTCTGTTGCCCATGACAAAGACACTTCTGCAAGGCCCGAGGACGGCCGCTGTGCCCGTCACGTGACAGGCCGGACCGTTATGTCAGTGTGACGCACTTGTATCACGATGACCTTGTATCACGATGACCTTGTATCACGATGACCTTGTGAGGATGTTTTTGACAGCGATCCGGAGACGCGAATCATGTCGACCTACTGCTCGTCACTTCACTGCTCGTGCATTTAATTTGGAGCGCGTTGGAGGACCGCGGCAGGCATCGCAGATGCCTGTTTTGTCACGACTTACGGGATGTCGGAATTCATGAGAGCATTATTACGACGTGGAAGACACTGCAACACAGAACCAGTTTCTAAACGTTGCCAGCAGCGACCATGCCGCAGCGCAGGGGTTATTGGAATACGGAAATGCCGAGTGCATTCCGACCTCGTGTCATGTTTGGAAACTAACATCTGTTAACTTACCCACTTCTCAAACAAACTAGCATTGACCCAGCATTGGGGTGCGCGTTTAAACGTTCAAGCGAGACAGGTTTGCA